ATTATTATAATGCTCCCTCTCATGCATGAAAACCCAACATGGGAGGGTCCAGTCCCCACCGTCGGCTCTTTGGGTGCTGGTCCTTGGCGCCTGGGGAAGGACAGGACCATTGACAATGTCTGGGCATCCCATACACAGGCAGCGCTGCCAGCCCACGCCCATGCCTCTGCCCTTGCTCCGGGGGCTTTCCCATTAAAGGAAGCAGTTGGCATGCTGGTTGTCTTTGGAAAATTCCATCTCCCCAACTCTCCCTGCCAATGAAAAGCATTCCCAACCTTGCCCTGTCATAAAAAGTGAGACATAAATCCCTTGTCATAAATAAGCCAGGAGCTCCCAGTCCAACGCAGGGTCTTTGCTGGGTCACCTGGGACATAGCAGAGCCTGGAGGGACGGAGGACAAGGGAACACGATGTCCAGAGGAGGCAGGTTTCAAGCCCAGCCTTGAGAGGAGGGATCATTAGAAAAGCCAGTGGCTGTTTTCCAGGGTCTCAAACTTAATGGTGTTTATTGGGCCTTAAATTAGAGTGGGATCAGTGGGAGAGGCCACTGAAAGCGGAGGAGGCAGCTGTCCGGCCGTGCACCAGCCCTCTCAGGAAGGCTGGACCACCTCGAGCTGGTGCAGACGGTGGCTAAGCCTGGATGGTAACTCAGGGGTTAATCTCATTCTCATTTCTTTTTCCCCTTTTTGGTCCAGGCATCATTTCCGTGCACCTTAAAAAGGACAGCCTCGGCAACCTGACCCTGATCGCCAGCCCCAGCCTGCAGACGGAGAGCTGCGGCCGGCTGGACAACGCCATCGATGACCCCTCGGTGACAATATGGCACAAGTGGGCTGCCAGCACCGGCAGCGAGCACGCGCTCGTCAAGTGGAGCCACACGCAGCTCACCAAGACCTTCAAAGACAGGTGAGGGCTGGGATGCTCCCTGCAAACATCCTCTTGGTCCTGCCCTTTGGGTAGGGTCTAACCAGGATGGTTTTGGTGGCACAACTCCCAGTTTAAGGCAAAAGGAGCAAAAGCAATGCCCAGCCAAGGTGAAGAAAAGCAAAACCCAGCTTGGTGGCTTCATGGTTCATCTCTTCCCTGGCTTGTGGATGGAAAGGGGTAGATTTGGAGATGCTGTTGATCAAATTACACGCCTCTAAACCTCCTTCCTCGGAGCCCAGCATGCTCCTAAAGGAGAAGGAGAAGAGCCACGGCTGGTGACCAGCCAGAAGTTGCAGCCTCGAGGGTGGTTTCATCCTGTCCTCATCCCAGGGGAGGGCTGTCTCTGAAAGGCATCGCAGTGCTTGCAAGCACACCGCGACCTTAAGGCTTGCAGAGGCTTTCTGCAAGACATCCTTCATCTCAAACTCATCCAGAAAAGCCCCAGGTCAGCTGTGACTGAAGGGTGCAATATCACTCCTGTGAAACTGCTGCCCTGGGCGTGCAGGGAGCCGCGGGGTTTGGATGAGTGAGACCAAGGAATGACCCTCCGAGGAGAACAAATCTCCTCTTCGCTCCCTTCCTCTCTCCCCTCCTTGAAGCCAGCCCCTCTAAATTGGGACTCATCCGTATCGTTGGACAATTTGCCCGTGCTGTGCCTGTTAGGTAGATAAATGGAGATTCCTGGTCCTTGGCGCTGTGAATGGCGCTTTTCATTGGAGCCAAGCACACTTGGAAATCGTAATGAAAGAAAATATTGGCACCCAGCAATAGCTGGCTTTCTGAAAATTACTTTTGCAGAGTAACAAAGGATCTCCACAGGTTGGCCATGATGAATATGTTTCCTTTGAGAGTCGCTGGAAATTTACCTTATCAAGTTTGAGGCTCTACAAAAGAGGAAGGGAGGAATATTCTCTTCTGGAGCTTATAAACCAAGCGTGTTCTTTTGTGTGTTTTGTCTAGCTGCCCGGGGAAGATGCTATTGAGGACAGACCTTCAGTACCGCACAGATTCACTTTTGGAAGATGCAAACGGAAACCAGCCAGAAAGAAACAGCTACAACCCCTGGGGACTGCGCTGTCACAGGCAGCACCTGAACCGCATGTCCTCCAAGCATAATGAGAACAAACTCCATCGTATCCTTTTTCCTCTCTCCCCTCCAGCACAGTCTTGGCTACAAATAACAGCTCGTAATCAACGTCTGGTTTGCTGTAGGGGGTATGCATCCCTCCTCTGTCCAGCCCCTGGGAAAATACAGAATAGAGTCGCTCTGTTATCTTCTCCCACTGCTCAGCTGGACAAGATGATCATTGTAGGTCCCTTCCAAATGAAATAGTCAATTTTTTTTTATTCCATTCCATTCCATTCCACTATATCTTATTCTATCCTACTCTAAAAAAAAATTAAAAATAAGAAGGAAAAAACCCACTTCCTGTCAAGGGTATTCAGCATAAATCAAGGATCCCCCTGGCATACATTTTCAAACACAACTCTATAGGAATTAGCAGCTGCCTCGCCTTTTATTTTCCTATTACACTTCATTACCCACCAGTCATGTGCATAATCCAGTTTAACAACTTCCCGCACACCCACTGGAGTGAGCACAGCACCGAGGCAAGGTGTCGGAGTGACAGCCCAGGGCGATGGTGTCACTAGAGAATGGAGCTGTTGGTGCTTTAATTGGGAGGACTGTACAGCGGTAAATTAACCGCAGTTGGCAGCGAGGAGCCTATAGCAACGACACATTGGTAAAACTGGCTCAGAAAGTCTCGTTACAGTTGTGAGCTATTATGGAGAGCGTCAGCAGTTGCTCTGATTTAAGACCTTTTTCAATTAGAATTTTAAAGGATTGGGTTTCCCTTAATTCACGTTCAGAGTTTCTATTGCTTGAAAACGTGGTGTCAAAATACAACTATCCCTGCATCCTGGACTTGAAGATGGGAACCCGGCAGCATGGCGATGACGCCTCGGAGGAGAAGAAAGCCCGGCACATCAAGAAGTGTGAGCAAAGCACCTCTGCATCCCTGGGCGTTCGCATCTGCGGGATGCAGGTAAGACGAAGCCTCAGTCCTTTCAGTGTTTGCTGGACACACGGCTTGAAACCGAGCTGGAAATCTCAAGGGACTCTTTGTAAACTGAAGCAGTTTCATTCCTGTCTCCCACCGCTGGTCTGTCTTATCCTGAAGCAGGAGAGGATGTTTAGGGAAGAGTATAGGACATGGTACCCCCAGGGTAACCCTTTCCTTGTGCCCCTCTGTGGCTCCTGCACATCTGGCTGCTTTGACAAGCGGCTGCATAAACACCACCCTGCACCACTGCCACCAGTATGAGCAGCTGGAACCAGTTTACCCCAGCTGAGAATCTCCCTGTACACGAGCACAGATCCCCCTCTCGTGCTCAGCTCTTGGCTGCTGCACAAAAAAAAAAAAAAGAAAAACAAAAGAGCAAAACCCAAAAGCATCCCTTGCCCCGCTCGTGCCTCTGCAGAGCTGTCTCATCCTGCCGCCACAAGAGCGAGGGGTTGATTTTCTGCTAAATCCTCTTGCTCCAAATCGCTGCCCTTCCTCCTGGGAACCACAGCCACGCATCTGCTTCACTCACACTTCTCGAGAAGGTTTCAAAATGTTGTTCTGCTGTGCCTGGAGGATAATTAGGAGAATGATTATAAAGCACATACACAGCAGCGTAAACACTCGGTGCCAAACCCCGTGTCCCTTTCTGCTCTCTGACACCCTTCTGCTGAGCAGATGATCCTTTAAATTACAATGAGCTAATTCTGAATTCACTCCTCCTTTCTTACTCAGTGTTACCAGAGCCTCACACAGAAATTTCTGTCTACACCTTGTCTCTCTGTGTTTAAGAAAGGAGGATTATTGCTGCCCATGCGTTACATACCGCGAGAAGGTACAGAGCCGGGGCGTTCCTGCGCCACCGCAAACTCCTGCCGCAGCCCGAGGGCAGGTGCTGTAAATCGCTGGTGACACGGCTGTGACTTACAGCCCTTGGCGTTTCACCACGGGGTGATTTATAGCAGTACAGCGAGGACCTGCGCTAGGGGTTTGAATTGAACCGTTTAAATCTCCAGCAAAGACAGGAGGTGGGATTGGGTGAGAATCACAGAATCATAGAATGGTTTGGGTTGGAAAGGACCTTAAAGATCATCAGGGACACCCTCCACTAGACCAGGTTGCTCAAAGCCCCATCCAGCCTGGTCTTGAACACCTCCAGGGAAGAAGGCTGCTGTGCGTTGCCAGTGCTGCGAGGTGTTGCTGGACCGCAGGGATTTGTGTCCCACCCCTCACCTTGGGTCTGGACTTTTTAGATTAGGGTGAAATCTAGACCTTTGGGAAAATCAAACTGAATCTAGATTATTTCTGTCTTTCCTCAAGGTTTACCAAGCAGACACTGGCCATTTTCTCTGCAAAGATAAGTATCACGGCAGGAAACTCTCCCCGGAGGGATTCAGGCAAACCTTGCGCCAGTTCCTGTGCAACGGGAACCACCTGCGAACGGATCTCCTGGAGCCCATCATCCTGCGGCTCAAAGCTCTGCTCTCGGTTATCAGGAAGCAAAGCTCTTACAGGTTCTACTCCAGCTCCCTCCTCATCATTTATGAAGGGCAGGAGCACAAAGAGAACACGGCACACTTGGATAACCACCTTCACTTCCAAAAACCAAACTGCACCGCGTCCCACGGCGCTCATCACGCCAGGGTTGACGTCCGCATGATAGACTTTGCCCACACCACGTTCAAAGGCTCCAAATGCAACCACACCACTTACGACGGGCCAGACCACGGCTATATTTTTGGCTTGGAAAATCTCATTAAAATCCTTCAGAATATCTCAGAAGGCAAATGACAAATTCTGTGCAATAGCCTGGATTTACTAGTGACCGATAGCCCTGAAAAGTACCGCCCTGGGGTCAGCTGTAAGGGACCCTCCCCGCTGCTGGGTGTCACCTGCACGGTTTGGAATGAGAGCATGGACAGCTTGCTAGGAACGGGCAAAAACCGCTACGTGCCATTACTGAACTCAAGCGTAAAAAAAAAAAAAGCAAAGAGCTGGAAGAATCCATTCTGTCTGCAATCCATCAGAAGATTTATTTTCCTTTCTTGTTTTACCGCTGTCCTTGATTTATTTGTGAGCCAGAAGAAAGCATGACTTGAAAGAGTCTTAATGATAAAATAGGACCTGCTCACCTCCACGCTCACGAAGCCGCACGGGCTAAGGAGATATTGTGCATTTGAGTGAGGCTGTAAAAAAAAAAAAAAAAGTCTGAACAGATTGCAGCGTTTCTTTCAACTCACGCTCAGCACTATGGGCTGAACGCAAAGACACAAGTGGGAGAGAGAAACGCACACCCCGACCTTCGCGCTCCACGTGCGAGACAGCCGGGTGTCGAAACGCAGACATATGAGATGCTGCAGAGGTTCTGCGCCGCTTACGGTGTAAAAGCAGAGGGACCTCAGACCAAGAACTGGACCTTGCCAAGGTTTTACATCCCTGCAGGAGTTAACAGGGCATGTGCCAGAACTTTTCTAAGCAAGGGGCTGGAAGTATGGGAATGCAATGATTCTGACAGATACCAGTCACAAAAACATTCACATCAAGGTATTTTTGCTTAAAAAAATTAAAGAAAAAGGAAAAAAACCAAAAAACTGTGAGATTCGAGTCAGGGACTAGACATTAAAGGTCACCTAGAAATTCTTTGATACAAATATTGTGCGTGTGTTTGGAAGAGACAGTAACAAGAGACTCAAAAGAATGTTTACAGCTTTTGTGGACAGATTTTATTATTATGAAACAAACACAATTCCTTCCTGCATGGTGTGGGAAACCTGAAAGAGAAGTCCTTACACAAGGACCAGAGCTACAGAACCCCATTACTGGGGAGTGGGGATATCAATAAAATCGCTTAAGTAACTCTCACCTGTTGTCCATCTCTTTTTCACTTCCACAGCATCCTTAAGTTACATTATCTTTTGTTTAGGGCTGTATGTTTTGAAAAAAAAGCCGTTATTTCCGCAGGTTTAAACATCGTATCTCAAGGGAGACCCCTTCACTTGTATTTTACTGCATACAGCTGCCACAATTTATAGCTGGAAAACTTACTTGGCCTAAAGTCCATCTGGGAAGAGCTCATTATTTACTGGCTATCGTTCACAGTGTTGGGTATTTCTTGCCCACAAGCTCATAAAAAAAAAAAAAAAAAGAAAAAAAGGGTAAAAATGTGCTGAAATTTGGAATAAAGTCTTCAATTGTCTTGGCTCCCAGGCGTGCACTGCGGGCCGGTGATCGGTGCTAATTGGGGGGGTTACCAGCTCCGCTGGTGGGGTTTATACAGACCCAGCTCAGAATCCGCATCTGCAGAGCTGGGAAGGATGAGGAGGGGTGTGATGGGTTAGCCCTTGGCTCGGGGCCAAGCCACACACACCCGCTCACACAATTCCCACCCCCACCCAATGATAGGGGAGAGAACCCTTAACCCACAAGGGGTCTAAGAAGGACGCCAGCAGCCAGGACCCCTCACCAGCAGAGCGAAACCCCTGCTTTGGGCTGCGTGCCCCTTCTGGAATGAGAATGGTAGGTGATGGAAGCATCCCGCTCCCTCCCTTCTCACCCCTTACATATGAGCACACAATTATCAAGTATTTAACCATTTGCCTGCCAAGAGGAGGAGATCTGATCCAGTGCACAACCTTATGTACTCCGGTGGAGAAGGAGAAAACCAGGCAAGACTTTCCAGGTTTTTAAATGGCCAGAAGCCAAGCAGGAAGGCAGCTATTCCGTGCTGGCTGCCTGGCCTGGGTGTCTGCAGCATCACCGGAGCAAGATCCCTTTACAAAGCAGGATGCTCGGCAGCGATCTAGCAAACCAACGGGCAAAGCCAGGCTGCTGGTCGGTGGCTTTTCGAGCCCAGCGGGTTCCTCAAAGAGCTGAGGACCAGCAGCGGGGCTGGCTTTGTCACCCGGTGTGCAATTAGCCAGCACACACCAGAGCAGAGATTTATTGCCCACCAGCACAGAGGTGGGTGCTGGCTGGTAACTCCACAAAGCTGCACACCCAGTTTCAGCCATGGTGCGGATTTATACATTGCAAAATGTTCGTTCCGTCTCCTTTGCCACATCCTTCTAATGTGGTTAGTTTTAGTCTAATAATTAGTCCAATAATTGGATCGTTTTTATCTCTTCTTATTTGCGGCTGGTTAGTTCTTTTCTGGCTTTGCTTTAGGAACGCAGAGTTCCTTCCATTTCCTACACATGCTCCTTAAGGGGGGGGTCTGCATCCCCGGAGGGCTGTCCCAACCCTTGGAGATGTGATTTTTTACTATTATAATTATATTAAAATCAGGATCGGTCACGTTCGGACCCTGCTCATCACTAACTTGGCTGACTGCCCAGACAGACTGATTATTTTCCAGGATGTTCCCATCT